TTTGGAGAACAAAAAACTTTTTTTGTTTTTTATTTTTTGTCCCTTTTTTTTTTTGATAAAAAAAAATTTTTTTTTTTTTTTTTTTTTTTTTTTTTTTTTTTTTTTTTTTTTTGCATACAGTGCAGTTATATTGAGGATGTCCTTCCTTCCTGGCATTGTGTTAACACACATGATCCACATCAGCTAACTTATCAAGTGTGTTTGCACTGCAGCAACGTCACTGCTAGTTTTCCTTTGAGTCCTGCTGCGACTCGGCTAAAAGGTTGTGCTTATTTTCTCCTTGAACAGATTTTTCGTGTTTGAGTTTGAGAGCGAATGTAGACGCGCGTTGATTCTTTACTCTGCGTCTTTTATTTAATATGCGAATGCAAACATCAAGATGTTATGTCAAACAAAGTAAACTGTTATTCTGACTAAATCTCTAGTTGGATGTTCTGAGAATGCTATTATTACCCTATTTGCACCTTTGGTTGAGTCACTTTGTCCCTAAAGAAACGGGAGGAAACACGCTGTGTCATCTGTAATGCCTCACATCATTTTGTGCTGTGTGCTGCTGGGTTTGTGTGACAGGGGACAGAAAAGTATTGCCCTGTCCTAATTAGATCAGAACCCAAATCAATGTTGTTTGTTCAGCCATACAGATGCATGGATGATGCATAAAAAAATAACTGCTGTGCTTCTACTTGGTAGATGCATGGTTTCTGTTTATTTTAATCGTTACATTTCAGAGTGTTTGTTGTGAACAAACTCCCCCAAAGACAGTCTCATGTGTTAGTTTTGTTGATTCAGAGGTTGCTTAGTTTATTAATGAAAGATTTTTACCAGTCAGGCACTTCAAGACTTTCTATTTTTCCTTCATTGTTGACGGAAAGCTCGTGTTTCAGGAAAACTGCATACCAAACTGCTAATTATCTCTCCTTGTCAGCACCATTGACGGTATGAGAGTACAGCAAGTACATTGACATTGACTCGCTTACCCATGGATTTGCACAGCACAAATGAATGAAACAAACACATTTACATTTTAAGAGGGAAGAAGTTGCTAATGAGACCTCTGTTTTATCTGACTCTTTTTTGTTTGTTTGTTTGTTTTTCCCCTGCCTCTTCTGGACAGCAGTTTCCCCTTTCATACTGGTCTTTGAGCTCACTGGGAGCCTGACTATCATTTGGGAATCTGTCTGACCCAGTTCCTGCCCTGGCTGAGAGGGAAATGATGACAGTGAGAGATTTTCCTGCCATTATGTGGGGTTAGTTAGCAGCTCTCGCATAGCACAGACTGCTATGTGTTCTGTTGTAGCAGGCTGTGAATGAATCTCCTTAGTCTGACCTCTTTTTGTCACAAGTTTAAATTTTTTGTCTAAGTACTAACAGAACTGCTTGCACGAGAAAAAAGGGAGTCCAATTTCCTAATGTGCAATTGTTTAAACTCTTTATTTGCAATGAAAGTAATTTTCCCAAGTGTTCAGGGTTATTTCTGGACTTCATGATGGAGAATAAGGCTCCTTTTGCCTTTTACTGCTATGTGACTGTTTCAATGCTACAGGGCTAGTATGCATAGTCTGTAGATTTTGTTCAAATAGCAGAGAGTTCATTCAGATGTTTTGTATCCATCATCTGATGTACAGGCTGATTTGAAACACTCTATCCAGCTGAGTTCGGTTAGTGGTATCGTTTCATTTGTTCACGTGGAGCTGCAGGATTTGTCATGTCTGAACATTTTGTGCTTTTTTGTTCTTTTTTTCTGCACATACAAATGTCTGCATTCTCACATGTTGCTTTTTCATGTTTCACGCTGCAAGACCACTATGAGGCGGTGTACTGGTCAGTACGTTGTGTTAACTTTCAAAAATGATTTTTTTTTTTTTTTAAATAAAGGATTTTGTACAATTATAGGTGCAAGTATTTTTGGTGTATGTCTACCAGTTTTGCATATAGTCTCAAATTGTGCCCCTTGTTCTCTGCAAAAAGCTCAAGCTCATTCAGAGCTTGATTCGAGATCACCTGTACACAGCAGTTTATACGACTTGCCAGATTCTTGATTGGATATAGGTTTGAACTTCACTCAAACCTTTCCTTTTTGGTTCCAGTTGTGTTTAGGGTCGCTGTTCTGCTGGACACCAGACGTCTGCCCACCTCAGTTCTTTTGTGACCAGTGTTAGATTTCTTCCAGTGTTGTTCATCACTATTCTTATCAGCTCTGAATGACTTCCATCTCTCTGCTTGCAGGGGCAGTGTTATGTGTTTTCCAGGCACATAGTGCCATTTTATAGCACAGACAATTAACACTGTTAACTTTAGTTATATAAAAATGCTATATATATATATATATCAAATATGACTTAAGAGAAATTTGACTTTGTAATTTAACGCCTTGACGTGGAAAGTTAAAAACTTATGCTCTTTCTGAAATGTGGTCTCCCTGATTCAACTTCTTCACTATGTTTTCTAGCAAACCTTTGAGAAGCCGAGATTAAATCACAAACAGTTTTGAGTCTACTCACTAATTAAGTGACTTTCCAAGGTTCTACTCGAGTCTATTCAGGGGTATCAGAGTAAAGGGAGCTGCATATTCATGTAGAGTTTTCAGATTGTCACAGTGCAGGAACAGAGTTTTTGCTTTTCTTGATGCCTAGTGAGCCCGACAGTAATACACGACAGGTTTTGCTCATGTTTTTTTGTCCCCAGACCTTATCTTTGTCTGGAAACGGAATGGTTTCAGATGGTTCTCGTATGTGTGGCTCTGCCTTTATCGAGTTCAGTTTCTTCCTGTTTTTGTATCGCGTTGGAGAACGCTTCAGCTGGTTGGAATGCTGACATCAGGGACTCATTTGATTAGTTTTTGCCATTCCAACTGATGTGTTGCCATCATTGAAGGCCAGTTCAGGGCTGGATCAGTTGCGGAGGACACATTTTCACCTGTTGTGCTGACAAGTGCAACTTGTCAGCGCAAACTGACTTTGCGACGGGGGAGCAGAGGCGAGTCTCCATATGGTTCCTCCATGACTTGACCTGAGACCTTTAAACCTCCCCCCAAATTGCACATGTATGTGGACAGTCACAATTACTCATATTGTACTGGATTTTTGCATGCTGGAGGAATGTTACAGATTAACCCAAAGGAAGTCTGTCTGCAGGCCGGTGCTTATACAGGGCCCCACTTGCGGCGGTCTGGACAATGTCCTACTGTTAGCCTGGAAGCAGCCAGCACACGACGCAGGAAATGGCTCCCTGGCTGCTGTAGTTTGTTTTGTTCTTTTTATTCTCTAGTGCAACTCTTTTTTTTCTCGAGCTGACCAGATTTGTTCATAATTAAACTTTTTGGCATGGGTTAATTAAATCTGTGGTTTTCTACTCTTTTAAAATAGTAGACTCTTCATTCGTAGAAAAATGATCTGCACGAACTGTTCTAGTCTGGCGTTAGGTGCTCTAAAACTGAGATAAAAGCAAGTATTAGCTTAACCTGTGCCACAATGTGTGAAGAGTCATACATTAAAAACCAACAAATTACCTATTCATGGTGTTGCTCATGGTCTTAGACTAGAAGCTGCTCCTTTGGACAACAATATAGCAGCTTTTTATTGTTGACAACCAACATTATAATATATTACTGAGACTTGATAGACACACAAATATAAACCACAGTCTGGACAATGCCTTGGCTTTCTGAAATCGTCTTGGGAATCTTTTTGTGATCCGGTATTTTCAACCTGGATAACACTTTATGTGGATTCAGAGGACATATTTCAATTTAACCAAGATACTATAGACTACTGACTTTAGCAGAAAAATAATAAATGCCTAAATGTAATCTATGTGAATGTTTTAGGTCTGTGGGACACTCGTGGGATGGTAAGGAGTTATCTTGGCTCAGAGTAATATCTGGAGATCTATTTCAGAAATAGAACTCAGAAGAGACTTCCAACTTTACTGTTTAGGTCAGAGCAATAAGCTGCATGCAATGCATACTAAAGGATCTTAATATATGTTTCTGCTTATTAAAAAGACTGTCCTTGTATTCTGTTTTAAGTTCATTTTGAAGACTGGTGCCGAAGCAAGCAAACAGGGAAATGTCCAAATGCAGTGACCATAAGCATGAATGGGTAAAACCATTTTGAGTTCCTCTATTGACGGAGTTAGGTCAGTCATGATCTATGGACTCCATTGCACCCTCCAATAGACAATTTACCCTGCCAAGTCTCATCAAGATCCACTCTTCTTGCTCTTATTTTCCTCATTAACAGATGGAACATAAACAGCCTTATTGGATTTTCTCTTCCTGGCATCTGATTGTTTCTTCTGGTTTCTTTAGAAAAGACCAGAATCTGCTGTCACCAGTCAACTGTTGGTACCTGCTGCTGAACCAGGTCAGGAGGGAGAGTAAAGACCATGCGACACTGAGTGACATCTACCTCAATAATGTTATCATGAGGTTCATGCAAATCAGCGAGGACTCCACGCGGCTACTGAAAAAGGTGAGGATGGACAGATTACTTGGCTACTCCTGATTAGCTGACCAAAAAAGGCTAGCTAATCAGCTAATGACCTGACCTATATTTCTTTTGCCTACCTGCCATTTATCTATATTTGTTCAAAATTGAGTTGTTTAGGTCAGAGACTGTGACAGGAAATGGATTTTATCATGTAGAATTAAGGTCACTACCTGGTTTTAGGAGGTGACCTTTCCCCCCTCACGCTCTAGAATTTGCTCATAATTAATCTAATAATTTCCTCTGTGTCTCAGCTAAATGTTTCCTAAGCCTAAAGCAAGACAGATATGTCCCTTTAGTTGACAGCTAAAATTAAGACAGATTGTCTCACTCCAACAAATTTGCAGACTGTCATGAGAAACCTGAACCTTATTCATTTTTGCACAGTGTAAATAACAGCTAATTTCTTTTCTGCCATGTGTATTGTATCCAACACAAAATTGGTTTCATTATTTAATGTAATTTTCAAGTAGCATGTGACTGAAAAAAATAGCCTTTAGAATATGTCCATGCTTACATTTAACCTAAACCTGAGGGGTCAGATGTGACTTTTTCTTTTTGAATTTTAAAAACGGTTCAACGCAACTAAACGCAATCCAGATTTTTTTCCACAGCGGTCAGGTTACTGTTATGTATAAACGGTCTCTAGTTATAAATTAACCCATTCACTTGGAAGCTGGCCTATTTAGTTGTATGATATGCAGAAAGTTATATTCATCTTTGCCTCTGATGGCACGATGCTCCATTGAGCCGCTGCGGTTTGTTTTCTGAATTAGAGTAATGGCGTTGAACTTTGGGCACCGCAGCTTCAAATCAGTGTACGTTCACTCTTTCATGGTTTTCTGGTCAAAACCAAGCCGCTGCCTTTTTTTTCCACCACAAAGATGACAACTCCCTAAGAGATTATGAGCTCCTTGCTCCAGGAGTCGCATGAACTTACCACAGAGCTAAATTACAAAGTTGCCTTTCCTAAGTGGAGCGCCTTTGTGTACATTTAGCTTGCAGAGAATATTCTGCTTCTCCGTTCTTTTTTTCTTTAATTTATCAGAAACCTTCAAATTTCCCCTTCTTTATTTAGAAATTGAATTTTTTTTTTTTTTAAAGTTTTTGCTTTCAACTTTGGGTTTTTGACACTGGTTTAGCCCAAATAGTAACCAAGAACCCTCAGTGTGCTTCAGTTTAAGCCTTGTGGTTGTATTTAGTCCTAATGATGAACTTTTTAAAATTGCATTACGGTGCAACTCTGAGCACACTTTAGATCCTCAGTGACCTGATTCACTGCAGCTGCAGCACCTTCCACTGTGACGCTGTGGAATCTGGAGTGTCAAACCGCATCATGGAATGTTTGTCCCTTTAAAGTTCTGCAGCTTCTTTGTGGATCCAGGTGACATTGTGCAGACAAACAGCTGCCTTGTGGGAGGTCACATCTCGTCCTCTAATTAAAGCTTCCCTGAGCGTTTGATCTCAGCGGAGCTCCAAGAATGAGGCACAAACAACAGAGAACTTCCCCGTATTACGTGAGCTCCCTCGCAGAGTTGAAGAGACAGATGTACGGCTGTCATCCTTCTAGCACATCAAAGACCAGGGCTTTTTAGTTTCTTGTATGTTCAGGGGTCATGCTGAGCAGTCCATTCACAGAGAGCAAGTAAACAAAGAAAGACGGGACCTGGGGCCTCCATCAACATCCTCCACTTGACCATTTGGCTTGACATGAACATTTCCTTGATCGCACCCCCATCGTAAAAGTGTTTTAAGATGGGGGTGCGATTTTAAGATGTATATCTATATATACGGATATATATCTATATATAGATATAGATGTATATCTTGTCGTTTTGTTTTTATGCTTGAATGGGTTTTATCACATTCACTTTCCATTATTCATACAACTGGCTCTTTGTTTTTATTCTGCTCTGTTTTATTCATGAAAGTCCCATTCTGTGGGAGAAAGAAACTACAAGGTGGTGTTTCTGAAGTCCGACACAGCTTTAAACTTTTCAGTAGGCAAACTGTTAAAAATAGCAGAGAGAATCTATTGTCTGAAACTGTGGCGATTATATTGATTATAACCGATTCACATCATTCTTACTCTTTCCTGTCTTTACCGTTACACAAGGCTGACCGTCCCCCATGAGCTGTAGCGTCTCAGCCAATAAAAAGATAGATTGTGTGGAAATTAAGAACAATTAAAGCCCATTCAATTGGTCATATTTACTACTGACATGGAGAAGGTGAATTCATGATATCTGAAATATAGCAATTTAGCAAATCTTGCATCTAAGCAGTCTTTTCCGTGTAACTGCATACACAGATTCGACTATGATTGCGATTCCATATATTTCTCAATCAAGATTTGATCAAAGTATTATGTCAAATGTAGTAAAAGTCTACTCTACAGTGGCAGGACAGCACCACACACAGAGGCCCTAAGCGACTGCTGCCTGTTAAACTGTGATTTATGTCGGCGGCTTTATGAAACCCACCACTCCCTAAAGGCTTCCCTGTTTTCTCCTCTCTTGGTTTGTTTTATCTTTCTGATGTGGTTGGTGCACAGATGGAATGAACTCAAAAGAGGAAATCTATTCGTAGGATCCTTGTGATGAATTAGAGTGATTTGGAAACCCCCTCCCCCCCTCACCGCTAACTGAGATTCTTTTCAAATGAAAGGGAGTAAAGTTGAGGAAATTAAATCAATACTGGTTATGCAACCGAACATTTGGTAAGCAACTGTCACTGCTTGTAATTTGAGGTAAATAGTTTGTGTGTTACATTTAGCTGCAATATAAAAGAGGAGACCATTTAAGGGTTCAAAGCGTTCTAAGTGTTGGTTCTTCGAGCAAAAAAGGTTAGTAATGTCTTGGACGCATTGTTTCTTTACTGCCACGTCTGTCTTTACTGCTCTCACTCACGCAGACGCCGTCTCACAGCTCGTGAGATCCCTGGGAAAGCTTTTCATTGAGCCCTGGATCGCATCCCAGCTTTCCAAATGGGGAAGAGCTGATGTGTGTTTGATCTGACAGATAGTCAAAGGTTTTGTCTTCTCAACTTACTGTTGCTTAAGACTTTTCCCACAAGAGTCGTTTCACGTCTTATTGCGCTACATGAAAAAAAAAAAAAAAACGTCTTTATGAGCAAATGTACTTGACTTTGACGAACACAACGAATAGGGTAGCAACAATGCATTGTTGTAAAAGTATTCACACCTGGCGAACTTTTTCAGGTTTTGTCTCAATGCAAACCATAGAGTTGAATAAACTTCCTTGCAGGAGTCACACAAGTTGATGGAAGAATTGCAGTGACTCCTGCCATTTGGAATTTGCTACACATTATTGTATGTAGGAGACATGGCAAACATGTGGAAGAAGTTGATTTGTTTAGATGAGGTCAATACTAAACCTACAGCCTACATGTTAAATGCCTTGTGTTGAGTGACCATGAACGAGATTTGGTTCTCTCTGTTTTCCCCCTGATTAAGTAACTGCAATAGATCGAGTGTCGTTACTCACAAGGTGGTGATTAGGTAAGTGTTGCAGATTATCCCAATCCCCAAGCAAGACTCTCTGAGTTCACACACGAGACTCTAATCCTCTTTGTCGCCTGTCCACATGCTTGTGCAGCTTTAGCAGTAAGGGACATGCAATGAGAAGGAGATTGCGTGTTTCTTCTGTCTTTTCATCCTTGTCTGCGCATTACTTTTGGTGCTGAGGAGACCCTGGAGCTGTAAAATTGGAGTGAATTATAAATCGGAGTCATAATTGAAAATTCTGCAGGAGCCTTTATTTGATTTTGAATATCCCTAGTTTAATTAATATTTTAAGAGCCATATTATTGCTACATTTCAGATGAAGAAAAATGCTGATTTGTTAAAAATGTATAAAAATGTGACTTTAGATCTGAAAACTGTGGTACATATGTCCATTCATTCCCTTTTCTCTAAATTTCCCTCAATAAAATCAAGTGCCAACAACTACTTTTAGACTTTTTGTACTTAGTAAATAGAGTAAATGGAGAAGGCATATCATTCTGTCTTGGTATAAGTACAGTTGAGTTATAAATATCTCCTAGGTTTGTTAAAGGACATCATAAAGACCAAAGAACGCAGCACATTCAATTTCTGAATATAAAAATGAAGAGTATACAATAACTTATTCAAACACATAACTTTTTATGTGGCCCTCTAGACTCTAAATTACATTATTAAGTCCCCCCCAGTTTTTCACAAATCCACAAAATCTGTGATTTTGATTGGGAAAAACAAAACAAACAAACAAACAAAC